TGAAGAAGATCTCCCCAATGTCCTTTTGAAGGGGGATTCTCCCTCCAAACAATCACTGCCTCCCCACCCCATTCTCCCTCTTCATACTGTGCTGTACTGTATTTTTTTTCATGTTTTTGTGGTTTACAAATAAAATGCATATGTTTCAGAACTGTTTAACCATATTTACATTGAACCTTATGGGGGAGATTTGCCTCAGGTTGCGACCAAATTCGGAGGGCGGATTAACCATATTTACATTGAACCTTATGGGGAAATTTGCCTCGGGTTGCGACCAATTCGAGTTGCGACCAGAGTCACGGAACGAATTAAGTTCGTAACCCGAGGTACCGCTGTATTTCATTCATAGTCTAGGAAATTAAAATAACACTGCTGTATGCAATTGCAAAGAAAGAAGAGTCCACACAGGGGATTAAATGCTCACTGTCTGACCAACAACCCAGAAAAGCAAACAGAATTAGAGTTCTCAAGTTGATCCTTGCCTTTTAGTTTCTTTCCATATTCCTGCAGTGGCTCATAAAATAGTGCCTGCAACTTTTCAGTACTGAAAGGTCAATTTCAATTCAACTATGAAAGGCGGGGTTGCTGCTGCATGACTGATCTAACTCATTGGCTGAAGTATTGGCTCAGCTTGGTTGAAGAAAAGTTGGGTGACTAAATTAAGGAGGAGACAGAATCACAACTCTTTAGACATTAAGCAACCTCTGTAAATAGTTTCTGAAATTTCGGTTTGATGATCCTACTTTTGGATCAAACAGAGCTTGTATTTGTATAGCACAGTAACACATGATAACCTGATCAGTAGTTTACTGAATTAACCTAGTTCCTAGATTTCCATAACACACTGAACTATTAACTAAGCACACTAGCTGGATTTGCATTTAGAAATAAACAATCCAATTATATTTTGGCCTGGTGAGTTGTGCAAACCCAACCATGGTCATAATATGTGGTATACAGGCACCAGATACTTGGTACCCTCTTACCAACTATGGGTGCAGCTAAATTATACTTCCATTCCATCCTCAAAGGCTGTATGGAAAATAAAGGCATTGACAGCCTTTTAAAATACCGATAGGAACAGGGCCATCCTTGTCTCTAGAGGTAGGTTGTTTCAGAGAAGGGGAGGCTCTTTTCTGGGTTCCTTCTTGCTCATATTCCCAGGGGAGACAGTTATAACATGTCATCTCTACTGGTTCTTACTAGATGGGTAATTCCACTTGATAATAATTAGCATCTTAAAATGCCCCTGGACATTCACAAGCAATCCGTGCAATTCCTGGGGGGGGGGGGGGCGGGACGATATCACATGGGTAAATCAAGCATAACCTGTCACAATATCAGCAGCTGCATTTTGAACCATTGGTAGCTTTAGACTGGCCCTCACGTACAACCTGATTTAAAACAACTTACAATAGCCTAGGTGTGAAGTGACAAGGGCATGAAGGACTATCAGTAACAGTTCAAAAATGAGACCCACTTAATACTTAAAATTCTTTAAATTTCAGTATTTAAAATGATTAGGTGGAATGAACCTTTTCTTGTGTCTATGCTCACAAGAGGGGTTTTTTTTTTTTTAGTATTTTGAGTTTCCCAAACCCTCCCATTTGCAGGGCCATTGACTTCAGTGGACAAAAAAATTACATAGACACAGGATGCAGTGAGAAGAAGGTTGAGGAGCTCATGTGAGCATTCTGCCCTTGGCTTTTAGGCTCTTATGTAGGCCCTTATTCTGTGGCATCTTGAAACTTCTTCATTAAGTTAATTTGCCATGGACTTGATCAGTGGGTGAACTCTTGAGCTGTTAATAGTTTCTAGCATTACTGAGCTGTAATCAGTGCATCCCTAGGTGTAATTCTGTGTCCCAGATCTACCTTTCTGCTCTTTTTCTATGAATAGTCCTGGCCTCTGGACGTCTTATTAGAAAATCTGAACTTTTCAGTTGCTGAGGATGCAGCCACTTCCTGGCTTAATTCTCTCTTTTAATTCCATTGAAGTTATCACAAGTTGCTTGGAATCTGTTAGAAAATGGTCTAACAAGTATCCAGATGGTATTTTTTTACACTGTATTGGTTTGATTCTTTTGGGAAAGATGTGCTACATGTACACTGAAATGTTCACAGATGTAGGTGAATCACCATCATCACTGCAGTAGTCCAGGTATATTTAAAGCAGGGATAGGAAAGCTTTACGAAATGGCAGAATTACAATTCCCAACAGCCCGAGCCAGTATGGCTGACAGTGAGGGAACTGGGGGAGCCAAACTGGGGGAGCATTCTCTGAAAGGCTAAAGGGATCCCACCATTGTTTAAAGCGTTAACTTTTGCTGCATAACAATATTTCACAGGGCGGTTGTTGTGGGGAAATTGAAGGGCGGGGGTGCCCTCTATATTGCCTTGTGCTCTAAAAGGAAGGTGGGATAGAAAACGAATAAACAGAATACGCTAGGTTTCTAAAAATGGCAATAATAGTGATAATAATAATAGCGATAAGAGCAGCTGCCCTATTCAGTTGGTTTTAGAAAATGATTGCAGCTGGCATTTTACAGCTGCTGGGTGTGAGATGAAGCCGTAAGTTGCAGTTTCAGTGGCAGAGAACGAAAAGCATGTGCGATTACCTCTTGTGTGTGGGCAGATACTGAATGCTTTGTTGTGACTCGGCTTGGTTGCAGATGGGCTCTTACTTTGGCTCCTCCTTATGTGCAGTTGATCTGAATTTTGATGGACTTTCAGACCTCCTGGTGGGAGCACCCATGTTCTCTGAGATCCGGGATGAAGGTCAGGTCACCGTCTACCTCAGCAGAGGAAATGTAAGTATGTGAAAGAGCCAAGCAAACGGCTTGGGAGAACCTTTGTAACCACAGTTGCACTGTGTTATGCAAATTTGGCTTCAAGGCATTGAGCAGATATGGGACTGCAATTTTCCCATTTCTGCTTAAGATGTACACCAGCTTTAACAGAACAGGAAGAATATACATATTTTTATTATCTCTTTGAATATTATAAAGTCTGCTTGGATTCCTTCTCGCACAAGAGTAGACAAATCTGTTTTAACACAAACAACAGAGTGCTGTGATGCCTCTATACTTTATTATGGAATCATCTTTCACAGAATAGACTCATTTCTTCAGGTCTACAACCTAGATTATGCTTATTATTACTACACTTGTCCCATTATTACTACACTTTTCATTTGAAAAAAACTCAAGCAGCTTCTAAAATGTAATTGGACCCTGTATCAAAAAGCAAGGAAATACACTCTCTCATAATGAAGGTATTCTAAAAGAGCACTGAAAAGTTTAGAACACGCTGAAAAACCAAGATGGAGCCAGGCAGACTTCCTATGAGAGGAACTGCTGCTTCCACTATACCTGCTAATGATGGAGACAGTGAGAAGGTTTTGGAGGGTTTGTTTGTATGCGTATCTAAAAAATTAGGGATAGATGTGTATGAGTGTTTATGAATGAATGGGGGAGAGAGTAAGTCTCCTAAGACTTAAAGATCATTGTGCATAACCAAATGTTTTGCAATACAGGCCAGTTCCATTCTTGTTATCAGGGATTCTGAAGTTTGAACTGGGAACCCTCAGGGTGTGAGGTTTAGAACAAATGAAGAAAACCATCATGGAGATTGTGTGTTAGAAGAAATGCAGCAAGAGATAGCATAATACAAAACTATGGATTGGCCCAGTGTTATGTAAAAGCCTAGATTTGTCTTGGTCAGTTGAGCAAAATTATCTTTGTATTCCAGCCTTTTCAGGTTAATTTACTAGCACCAGAAACTTTTTACTTTGGATCACATACTCTGGATCTACGGTTGTATACATACATGGCCTTACTAGTTCTAGACTCTCATTGCAGTCAGTGTTTGCTATGATTAATAAAGCTGCATAGTTGTAGAAATGGTATTACTCAAATGATAATGGGAATGTTCCCATCTAATGCTAAGCCAAAAAGTATGTCTTTGACAAGCTGCAGAGTCAATGCCAGGTATTGGTAGCCCATTAGTAGCCTGTTTGCTCTATCATTTGTAAGACACAGTAAGTGAATCGGATAACTTTGTGTGATTAGATGATGGATGAGATCAGAGAGATTATTAGGATGTGCCTGGAAGAATTGTAAGTTATTATTAAAGATGCATTGGGAAAGCAAACATTTGACTTGAGAGTATGTACCTAAGTTTGTATAGATCTGATTCCAAGATTGATGCAAAATATGCCCCAATAATCCAGAATTTATAACTGTTTTCCTGTTCACATTGGTTCATGAAGCCAACATTCAACGCTGTTCACATAGGGAGTTACTCTCAAGGCGTGCTTAGCAGGATCAGTCTAGCTAATGGCTTCTGATTTAGCTGATTTAGCACTTTTCCTTTTGTTTAAGTATGGCAACTTTATGGCCAGCCATAGCATGTCTTGGGAGATTGAATTAGTATTGTTTTATCTTCAGCTCATGCCAAATTGTGAGAAATGAACCCCTGTGAAAAGAGACGACAGGAAATAGCTTTTATTTTGACTCTGTTGAAACCCCCCTGCAAAAGTTCTCAGGAGAGGATTTTTCATTGCAAATGAGTACATTGCACAACTGCTGTGGCCCAGAGGTTGCCTAGGGAAATAATCAACATCAGTTTCCTGTCTTCTGAAATGACCACGGCTTGTTTGGAAGGAGGATGAGCCATATGGGCTTTCTCAGACATGCTTCTGTCTGTGAAAATGTCTTCCATCCCCAATAAATGCTCTCTGTTCTTTGGTTTTAAAACAAATGGGTCATAAGCCATGACTTTTTAGGTCATATGAGGTCAGATGGGCACAGTAGCTTGCCACAAGCTTGGGTCTTTCCTGGAAAGTTTAAGAAAAACGTATAGCATAGTTATGAGAATTCAAGATTTAGGTTTCAAGCTGAGCCTTCATTGTGGAATGTTGGAGAGATACATCCAGGCCTGGTTTAGACTACAGAATTATTTGTCTCCAGTTAATTAAATTGTCTGGGCCTCAGTGTCCCATTTGCAAATTAAACTCTAATGTGATTATTGATTAATGGATTTTGCTCTTTCTTGTGGTAGTTCTAAGCAGAGCCATTCTCTCAATAATTTTGCAAAGGTCATTAGGCTGCCAGTAGGTGTTTTGTTCAAACGGCATAGCTAAGCAAACACTTGAACTCAGATCTCCTAATTAATTTTGAAGGAACTAGTCAGAATCAAAACCTGACTGTAGTACCAAACAAGATAACAACATACAAGCATGCAGACATTCTTCTGCAATGAAAGTATTAACTCTTGAGGTCAATGAGTCTTAAAAACAAAGAGCATCAAAGCATATACGAACTGTTAATTGCCTTGGGAAACTTTACTTCAAGTCATCATATTAGAAAGTAAGCACTAAATCTATCACTACCTCCTTTAAAACATAGTTTAAAGGAATAATTCTAGTGAGGGTTATCTTTATCCCAGACTCTTTTGCACAAATGGTAAAGTCTGAAAGAGGATTCTATGTATGCTTGGCTGACAATCCTCAGCATCTTATCCCTGAATGGGAACTCTGATTGCACAAGGTTTTTAGTCCCTGAAGAGCATGAAGAATATTCAGGGCAATGTACTTATAATTTTCATTCTGACTTAATGCTTTTCCTCTGTGGTTATTTCTCCATCTTTTGGAACTCTACCAAGGTTCCCAGTCAGTGCTGGGAATGCATCTGGAAAGTGCAAGGCGGGAAGAAGTTTGATTAACATAAACTACATGTAGATCTTGTAGCCACCAAAGAACCCCCCCCCCC